GAAGACAATCATTATAGTAAAAAGAAAATAAAAATCCCAGGAAATAAACGCCACGAGCCTGAAACCATTACTGCTAACAGGTTTTACACATTTACTGTGCCTATCATCGTCTACTTCTTTAATAGAACAGATATAAAGTCGCTGACAATTGGTGTCACAGGATGTAGGAACACTTTCGCCTTTAGCACTGACTATGTTATAACGGAAATACTTCATGAAGACATCGGTCTTCTTCTCCAAATCGGACACCAACTGCGCCAGTGAGGCGGAGGTAATTTCGTGAACGCCATATGCCTCGCTGAACTTGTATTCTAGTTTCCACTGTGCCTTGGACTTGTCATTTGCATCAGGCAATTCCAGGTAATACTGCCAAATGTCTTTTAGTTGGAAAGTCAGTCTATCATATCGTAAGAGCCGGATGCCTGGGTTGTGGGCAGGTGTGCTTAAGTTGATGGCAGGAACAATGGCACGCCATGGTGTTACGGAAGGTGCTACCAGTCCAAACGCTACTGGTTCATCTAATGAAAAGATATTTTGATTAGTAAACAATGTTTTTGTCGGCACATTTGTCAAAAGCAAACAGTTTTACTTAAGTTATTGATTCATATCCGTATATACTTATTTTGGTGGATCATTTATACTTCAATTTAGTTACTTGTAAGACCTCAGTTTTAGTCCATCGTAGCAAAGGCTTAAGGGAATAAAATCTTCACGACTGATTCCTGCACCAGAAAGCTTTAAGCTGGCCTATAAGAACCATGGTGCCTTCCAGCATACGTACCCTGATCGTACCAAAGCTTAAACGTGTCGGTATGGTGATGACCGTAAAACATGGCTGCTATTGTATTCTTGTGTTTGATGATGAGGTCATTCAGTTTCTTATTGAATTGTGGTCTTATCATTGAATCGCCTTCCTCGTACATACCAGTTGGAATATGTGCAATCACGTAGGCCTAGTCAAACATTGTGAAATATCAAAAGTACAGAAATTAAAAAAGAAAGATTATAACATGCACGCACGGTGTGCAAATTAGGAAGTGTGAACATGTTTAGTAGTATTTGGTTTAATTTCACACTTCTTTTCAAACAAAATTATTTAAAAAACGAGCCAGGTCAGATCTCTACTGCAAAAGGGACTACCTTAAGAATAATAGTAATCAATATTAAAATACTACATTATGAATCTCGACTGGTAAATTCTTTTACCTTATTGCCATTTTGAGCTGCCTGATCTAAGACCTGATCAAACCACTGAAATTGTCCAGCGGGGTCACTGATGTCAGCAGTCACTTTGTTGCTGTTATAATACAAGTTTGTGTTCAACACAACAGCCACCAACCCTTGTTTGATACTAACCATGTAGTAGCCACCTATGACAATATTCAACATAGTTTAAATATATAGTTTGTTGATATTTATAGGTTTTTACAGATTTGTTTTGATGTTAATATGATACCTTCTTTAGCCTTCATTGGTGTCACATAGATTCCCACCATCCTATTCAAGACAAACTATGAGGAGTCGGGACGCTTAGGGGCGGGGTCTACAATTGGTTGCGTGAAGGAGGAAGACAAAAAAAGGAGAATTAAAAACATCAGAAATGTCCTCAAGCAATATGATTTCCCGAAATAAAAAATGGACTCAATTTAGAGACAGAAGGATAAAAACAACAACCCCTCACACCCCCTAAAAAAACTTAATCTAAAAATTTAGGGATATAGTTGTTTTGCCATATGTCAAAAGGGTGTCAGCAGAAAAGCTTAAAAAAAGAAACATAGATACTTCAAGATAAATTAGCTTTGCTGCTGCCATGACGTCACGTACCACCCTGAGAAACCCTTAGTACACCAGATAGATAAACTGAGAGCATCAGAGCTTCCATCAAACGCCTCAGCTGTGAAGGCCAGTACACTGTAAGTTCCAGAATCCTACAGAAGGAGAAGGTAAAAGCGAATATGGACTAGAAAGGCCTCCAAAAACATAAACAGAGACGAATGCAGATGCTTTCTCCCACACCTGTATAATGACCTCCTGTAGTGCCTCATGGTCAGGTGCAGATCAGCAACAACAGTTGTCGATCACTGGCGACACGGACGACATCTAGTGACGCTAGGTCAGACTAAAGAAGATGACAGATCGACATTAAACGAATCTGTGGACATGATGAAAATATTCATTTATGATAAAAGAACATATACTTATCTAAACATTCTGTTCTTTTGCTTTGGCCATTCATTTACATAACAATCCTGTATTAACATATAGCAAATCCTGTATAACATTACAGCAACAGAACTTTCATACCTTTTTTTTAACTTCAAAAAACTTAAAATTGTAAACGAGACAGTTAGGAGTGGAGTGACTCTTTTACGTAAGTCAAAGTGGTTCCACGTCGTAAAACAATGGCATTATTCATATATATGGGTTGGATCAGCTGAATGAAGGCCTAAAGCTGTGTTTACCTTTTCTTAATGTAGTGTTGGCCGTGGAATCGCGGTGCCAACGTTGCCACATGTTAGCTGCTGCGTGGTAAATTTCATTCTCATGCGGCGGAAGTTGGTTGTGAGGGAAGTAGTCATGGTTACCGTGAGCTGCGTACACTTTCGTATTCGGAAAGACGTCCATTAATATACTAGTCAGATTAGAAATGATATTGATGATATTTTCAGAGCTGTCCTTGCTCTCGTCAATGTGAGGTGCGTTGTCCCTGGAATAGCGAGTTAAAATATTTCTGTCATTTTGGGTATACTTATTCTTCAACCTTGCAACAATTTTAATATGATAAAAACATACTTTTTTAAATACACAAACACTGGACACATGTATGACTGTGTGCAAATAAACACTATATTTGTCTAACACATAGTTTTACTATTTTTAAGGCTCAAACAGCTAGGGCAAATATCTTATTTTGACAAAGTGTAGGATTTTAAAGACACGTTTACTACATAATGCACTTCTTGTTGAACTTACCTGAGGATCAGTAATGCTTACAAACCCTTTTAACATTTACTAGAATTAATGTCGCCCAAATAAATCAGTTTCATCAATGTGAATTTCTGACTTAACTACTTATGGCTTATCTTGGGTAAAAGTAAATTATAATTGTTGGTCACAAAGTTTTTAAAAAATTTCAAGTCAAGACTACGTTTGTTTTATTTCAAAGATAATCATCATATTTTATTAATGTCTCTATAAACAAAGTACAGTAACTATGGAATGTTCTTTTAAGAATGATTTAAATGAGAAGAAATACATAATTAGGTACATTTTTATTTCAGGCAGTCTTCAAACTCAGAAAATTTGCTCATGAAGGAGGAATGTCTAAATGTCTAAATGTATCCCCTTTTGACTTAAGACGGGGATAAGCAAACACTTTGGTAAAAAACACTCCTCACAAACTTTTCTAAGATGAATAAGTTAATTGTAAAATATTACCCTGTCCAGAGTATAAAGTCTGCGTTAGGTTCAATCTGCTTCATGGCGTGTACGGAGCTGTTGATGAGGGACCAAGGGGAGTCACAGAGATAGTCACCATACGGCTTCTGCTCAATGTCTGCTACAGGAGAGGTACACGAGTCCTGACTGGTGAATACAGTGGAGTCATAGTGGAAGTCTGTCACGTGCCAGAAGGAGCCTTGGAGGGCAGAAAAGGCATCATGTTTTGATCGTCTCGTTATCGTAATATTTTGTAACGCATTCAGTGAAAAGAATATCTAATGAAGCTTATTATTATTTAATACGTTCTGGGTATTCAATTAATTAACCATAATAAAAAAATTAACGCTAACAATTATATGTTTTAATCCTTGGAATTTCTGTTGGCAACCGAACCATTTCCATAGAGAAAAAATTGTCCTAATTCACTTTTCATACATGTTTGGATTCATATTGAACCATTGTTCTGCATTTTTCAACCAACTGCACAAAAATTTCGTGTGCGTTAAATTTATCTAATTACTGAGCTTACTCGATAAATCAAGCTACTTTTATATTATCCTTTTTCTACTTCTTCGAGGGACTAAAGTAAGGCAACGACTGCTTTCAAACACATAATTCGATTCCGCTATGATGTTATTTTAAACTAAAAAAATCATTACTCTTTATTCCTAAGTCAGAGAACTACGAGACATTCTGAGATGACTTTAATTTAATATTCCATATTATCTAATTGAAGTTTAAGTGACGTGAGTACACTGTCCACTTTTGCCGGTCGTTCACTTTTCCATAGAAATTTCATGGAAATTCTGAGATGACTTTAATTTAATATTCCATATTATCTAATTGAAGTTTAAGTGACGTGAGTACACTGTCCACTTTTGCCGGTCGTTCACTTTTCCATAGAAATTTCATAGGATGAGGACAAGTATCTACATTTTCAAATATACGCTGGCTAGTCGAATCTACTCAGTTCGTTTCATGGAAGTTTGTTCCGACGATGAATTGTTTCCAGGCCTGTTGCTAGCAATTTCGATGGAAGTTTTTTTAGTGGATCTTTTTATATAGTGAAACCTATGTTTTTATTTTAAGTAGCTCAGAACTAAGATAAAATCTTATTTCAGAAAGGACCGAATCCCAGTCATAGTTCATTTAAAACCTAACCTCCCCCTGCCCACGAACATGACACCATGTCTTTTTACAGGAAACACGAAATCTGAATAAAATATGGATAATCAACAGAATTCTAAAGTTGGTGAGGAAAACTCGAGTCCAGGGAGCACGTTACGGCATGTTACATTAATTGTCGTCATTTTCATTTAGCTAGACCGCCTTCAATACCCTTTACACTGTATAAAGAGGTTTTCCATTTCTTCCCGACACACGTTCGCTCTCGAATGTAAGCTAACGAAGCCTGTTCGTTTATTTACTGATATTAGTCATTTCACGTACATGTATATCGAGAGCTAGGCAGTTTGTAAATTCAGCGACATTTTAATGAGAAACAGATAGAAAAGAGTGGCGCAATGGTGTCTGCAAATCCAGAACCCTGGGCGGATCCACAATTATTTGAAGGGGTGGGGGTCCGGTTTTTAGGAATGACAGACCGCGGAAGCTAAACCGATCCTCGCCCTCGACCCTTGGCGTGGGGTTCGAGGCCCGTTGAAAGGCCCCCAAAAATTTGGTACTTTAGGGGGCGAGCGGTGCCAGTTGGTACAGTTTAGAACAATGATTCAGCTAGTCAAAATTCTAATTTCAAGAGGGGACCATTGGTGTGATTTTTTTCAGAAATCAAAGGCGGTCAGGACCCCCCTGACACCCTCCCCCCCCCCCCCCGCCCTAAATCCGCCACTGCGTCCCTACCTGCGTGCCTGCAAATGTAGCCCGTGTTTGAGAAATAATATAAGGCTATTACATTTGAACACGGACTGCTGCGCTTTTCTTCAGCCGAAATAACATTTATCCTGTAGATAGATGTAAATAATCACATAAGCGGATCGGCAAACTCAACTCTTTTCATACATGTACATGACTCACATTTCATATTGCCTTATTTTTTATGGATAAAGAATTTCATAATGTCCGATCTACTTTTAAAATATACAAGCAAGCAGGTTATTTGTACCGCCCGTGGAACTCATCTCGACATTGATATGCTTATAGGCTAGGAGAATTCTTTTTAAAAAATCTCGGGCGGGGAGGGGATGTAGAAATAGGATATAAAACGGACTGGTGGTGGCTAGACTAGGAACTTTAGGAGTGTGAATAAAGCCAATTTTGATATCCGCGACTCTTTTCGTTTGTTTGTACTTCATCGGCGATTTTATTATAGGCCCTTGCAATTTTATCTATTATCACCTCTTACAGAAAAAGTAACATCATTACAATGATTTAAAGAAACGCGGGATTGACAATCATGTCTCATGTTTACTTTAATCTTGGACCCACCATGCAGTTACTTGGTGGGTGTATAGCTAACTGTTAAATAAGAAAATATCTTAATTGGATCTGTAGGCCTAATTATATTGAAGAACAGGTCTATTTATAGAAAATCAGAGTAGGAATTGGCAACCGAATTAACCAACACCTTCAATTATGATCAAGTCCACGTCATATTTAGACAAAAACTACTAACAAGATTCCCAAAGGTATGGATTTAATGTCTATTAATATTTTGCAATACAATTAAACTGTCACATAGTTGGACCAATTGTATCACAATACCATAAGTACATGAGCATGAATCTCTGAAGACATAAATGGCGCTTACCAATGTCTGCAATAACTTTTGGTACTGACACCAGACCAACCAGCATGAGTACTGTATACATGTACATACGGGATGCCATTTTAAACTGAAGCTTGACCCAGTTTTGCACCTGGAAATAATTCACATAATACAGGGTTTCTCAATATAGATGGAACCCATAAATATGATTATGGTTTATTACTGAGACAAGTGACAGATTTTTATTGCTTGTCCTGGGAGCTGATTTAATAACAAATAAAACATTGGTTTGTTGTCTTTAGCTCAAAGGATGTATTTTACAGCACCTTGTAAATTTGTCACTTGACAATGTACAATGTTACGCAAGATTACCAAGTCCGGTCACACGACGGTCTTGTTCACTAACGCGACGATCACTTGAGTAAATAAAGTTTTATAAGATTTCGTTAGCATCATTCACTAACGCAATCTGTTTCACGCTATATAATACATTGTATGTATGTAAGCCATCCAGTCGCATTTCACAGGGAGTTTTTCAAATCTAATACAGGACTGACGCCAGTCTTGTGAGAATACAGGTGAACTATTTTAAGTCTTGTTGCGTGATCTGCACTTAACAAGGTGGATTGATTTTGCAACTGTCCAGGAGATGGGACAGAAACTAAGGATAGCTTACCTATATTAACAGTTAACCAGCTGAAGTCTCCGAGAAGGAGACGCAACGTCGTCAACTAGTCAAAAATTTAAGGTCAGTTTTACTTACATGAAAAACTTTCCTTCTTTATCGATCCGCCGGAGAGATGGAGAAAGAGAGAGACAGAAACATGCACTCATGGGCAGATTGAGGCCGTCTTCTGCGTCTTCCGGAAGACGGTCAGATTTTCAAGTTTACATTGACGGGTAGCTGATTTTTTTCTGTCGGAAAACGGTCAAAATGGAAGATGGATCAACAAAGATAATTTGGAAGGCTGTCAGAAAATATCTCTGGATCCGCCCCTGCTGTACTGGATCGCTTTCGATGGCCTACAACAACACCCAGGCGGTTTATTTGCCCCCAATCCCTCTGTCCTTATGTAGTGGGTACAAACAGAAATCCCCTTGATTTAGCTAGACAAACAGATAAAAGCGACATACCTGAAGACCGAGTGTCAACATGCTGAAACAGAGACCCCATTTCCAGAGATTAGATCGATCTACTTTAGATCGACCTAACTCCCTGGGGTTCACGCTAAATAGCTGTCAGCCAGGCGGGCACGAAAGTTAATTATTCCCTTACAGCTTGTAGTAGGCGGGACGGACATTTAAGCCGGATTATCTGACAGTAATCTAGTAAGACTCCTCGCGGGGATAGATCGGTCTAAAAGCTCTGGGAATACAGCCAGAGACGGATATTCAGCATACCAATATGCTTGTGACATGTTGACATATGTGCTTGGGCTCTAGTTTGTGTTTCAAAGCCCCAGTCATCAGCTCCTTTAAATGCTACGTATTACATGCAATAACAGGCTGTTTACTTAACGCCAGTAAGTAATAACTTGGATGTTATTATGTCCAAGGTCATAAATATGGAACGTGCCAAAACTAGATACTAAAGACGTCAATTGCACAGACACAAAGCAGAAAACAATGATGCTAGTGCACAAAATAAGCTTTCGTCAATTTTGATGCAATATTACTTAATGATATACAGCATTATCACCACGAATTTGCTGCACATTTGTGGCAAATTTGCAAAAACATTAATACTTTCACACATACTGCAACCCTAAGAAGTTCTTGCAAATTTGCTGCTAATATGATGCAAATTTTTTTGCGCACAGAGACTTTCTTGCAAACCTAGGGCCCAAACTATATCTTCCATCCTATTGCAAACATGTTGCAAACTTATGATGCTATTCTTGCAATTTTGTTGCAAATAAGCAGTAATACAAATTTTCCTTGTAAACTGGTAGCTAAAAACTTTTCATTTTGCTAAGGACTGCACAGGGCTTCAGACACATGGTTACTCAAAGTCACAGAAAAATAATAATTTCACACACACACACACACGCACACACACACGGGCACGGTGATGGCGTCGACGGCGACGACAGACACAGGTGATGGCTATACCGAGTATGTATGAACAGTCTCGATGTGTCTTTACATAAAGAGGAGAATAGTAACGGAATTTAGAAAGGATAAACTTGATGCATTTGTTTTTTTGTTTGCTGTAAAACAAATAATTTTAAATTGCTTTAATCCAGTCATAGGAATGTTAGTAAAAAATCATTCCGACTGGTTGGCTGTCACGGGCATACACAGAGATTGAATTAGTGTTTAATATCTTGCTCATAAACTTCATAGCATATAAACTTCAAAACATGTAATTGTTTTAGTGTGCCAAATAGTGAACGCTCAGGCTGTCTTACTCTACTTTTTAGATAATATCAATATAATATACAAGTATACAACTACTTTCAAAACTTTCGTCTTTTTGTTCAGATTATATAAGGACTTACCTGTAAATTTCTTACTCGCTATTTCTAATTCCAACAAGTGTAGAACAGTTTCATTAGCTATGTTATTGTAATAGACTGGCTAGGTCTGACTGCAAGCAGACGAAATATTGACTGGTAAAACCAGACAATATAGACAAAAGAATCTTAATAAGTCTACAACATAAAACACTACCCTGAAACTGGAGCAGCAGAGGCCACATGCGTTTGTTAAGCCTTATCGCTCTAGAATTGCCCTTAGATATCTTTACCCTAGCAGGTATACCAGCAACATACGGCTGCTTTTACGTCTTCACTTGAAATGTGAGTGACAGGCCATACGTGACAAGCTAAACTTAGCCTATATAATTCATATGGATCAATCGACCAAGCAATCTGCAAACGACCTACGACATGTATTTCTGTAATGCTAGTAATGACAGCTACGAGTGAGTAAGGGGACAGCTTTGTAGACTAACTGAATTGATTGACATGTTCTCATAGAAAGAATGTAATCTTATCGGAAAGAAAATCGCTCGAGGTTGAAAGAGGTAGAAAGAGAAATTAATTAGAAGCGTCGAGGGAACCAACTGGTAATAGTTAATAAATAACGTAAAAAAATATGAAAGAGTTGTATTCACTAACTCGCGTCACAGCGAAAGATAAAGAGACCATTTCCACAGATATATAGATCGATCTATCCCCCTGGGGAGTCTCAATAGATTGCTGTCAGCTAAACCGGCTTAAATGTCTGTCCCGCCCTCTAAAAGCTGTAAGGGGGTAATTAACTTTTGTGCCCGCTCGGCTCCCGGAAGCTGACAATCTGTGGGAACCTTGTCTTAGAGACCATTCCCAAAGACTATGTTACTAACTTTGGATCGATCTATCTTTAAGGGGGTCTCACTAAATTGCTATCAACTTCAGCGGCTTAGATGTCTCGCACGCCAACTGAAGCTGTTAGAGGGTAAATAACCATCGTTTAGCGGCTTCAGTAGGCGTGCCAGACATATGAGCTGTTTAAGCTAAAAGCGATTTAGCAAGAAACCCCTTGGAGATGGGACGATCCAGGTACATCGATCTAGGCATGGGAACCCAGTCAAAGGCAACAACTTCGTCAAACTTCTTGTAGCCCGTTAAAACGTTTAAGCCGTCCCTCCAAGCTCTATAAAGTGTTAACATAAGCGGCACCAGGTTTTAACTTACCGAACACACACAAAAAATCACTGTTCGTTTTCCTTGATAAACGTTTTCGCACTGCAGTGTGTAAACTCTTGTAAATGTTTTCCTGTTAGATGTGACCTTGCAAAAGCAACAGTGATAACGTTACGTACAGCAGCTTGCCAACTACCCTTATCTTCAGCCGTATCTCTACACAGTTGTGGCTTGCATTAGAATGTAAAGGAAACTTATAACTCGGAATTATCATTATTGTCGGATCCAGGGTTTTTTTGCTGAGAGAGAGAGAAAAAAAGAGGGCAGAGACACAAGAATGCCCCCTATAGAACGGTAGCTATGAAAATTAAACCTCAACGAAAATATATATTAAATATATATTAATATTTAAAGCTTTTTTTTTCAGATTCGCCAACTGAATCTTAATTTGAAATCACTCCGAGAAAGACCAAGACAGACGACAATAGTAGGCCCTAGTTTTGAATTTTAATGTTCTGTAGTAACTACCGAAATATATCCTCCTGGTTGTTACAGTATCAATAAATCTCTTAAAGTCTAAGGCAAATGAGAGTGATTTCAATCCTTAAACTGACAACTAAACAACTAAACTAAACATTATAATGTTAAACGAATTAAAATCTGCACATGGTAAAAGATGAAAAATTACTACTAAAGGAATAACCATTTAAGAGATTTAAAGTTATGTACAATTACGATGTTTCCGGAATCTCGCGAAACTTTTTTTTTTTTTTTTTGGGGGGGGGGGGGGGGCAGTATGGAGGAAACGGGGAGAAAAGGATACCTCAGAAGCTAAAGCAGGGGCGGATCCAGAATTATTTGAAGGGGGGGTCCGCGGATGCAAAGCCAACCCTTTCCCCCACCCTTGGCGTATGATTTCTTTCAGAAATCGAAGGGGGGGGGAAGAGAAGGACCAATGTCCATCGCGTCTTTTCTCTGCATCTTGAGCCTCCTTCTCGGCCGTTTTCTTCCTCCATCAAAGGGAAGGGGGACCCAGCGTCACTTCTGGTCTGTCTGATAGCGCGTGCACTCACACTGCTGCGTTTTCTGCTGCCGTAAGCAGGGGCAAAGCCATCACGACACGTGTCTGTACATATAGCCCTCACCTGCGTCTGTCGTCGCCGTCGTTGCCGTCGCCGTGCACTTTCACCGATAACACGGTAAGCGGAAAACCATTTTACCTTTTGGCTTGAAACTTACAGAACTGATGAATATTCATAATATGCAGGTCAAGTTCGAAAATCAGCATTATTGGGTCAAGTTATGCTGTTTTTTCACTTTTTTCAGCATATTTGCAATACTGATTACACATTTCAGGGAAAACCAATAAGCCTTTTGTCTTAAAACCTACAGGATATGATCGAGTGATCAATCTTTCTAAATTACAGGTTGAATTAAAATGCAACACTGATAACACATTTCGAGGAAAACCGATCACCCTATTGTCTTGAAATTCACAGAAATGAACAATCTTACTAAAATACAGGTCGAGTTTGAATATCAGCTTGATTGGTTCAGTTTTGATGTTTTTGTATATGAGTGGCTTTTTCTCAGATTCAATTCGAAGGCATGTTAATTCGACCATTCACCATTGAGAATTTTACCACCATTTTGAAAAAATTTGGAGAAATTTAAAAGAGAATTTAATTCATGGTTTTCAGCAGTTTTGTTTAATCTAAAAAAAGGAATTTAATAAACTTCTACACAAAGATGAGTAGTTTTATCATGTGAAGTGCTATTTTACTATGAATAAAATTATATTTATTTGATTTAGATTGTTGTTGTTCATAACTACTCTAATGTTATTTAAATGTGAACTTTAAAAACTATAAATTAAGTAAGAGCAGTGTAATTAGTAAATAAAGTTGCTGTACTTCATAAATGCTATTTTATTTTTATGTACGTCCGTTGCAGTCGTACAAGTATGTCTGATACAGCCAAACTGTACGTCTGCTACATCAAACAAAGTGTTCTAGCTCAGCCGTTTCAATCAATCTCTTAGCTTAATCTGATATTTTATCAACCTTAACATCTTTTTTGCAATATATATTTTTTTTCAAAATTTGTGGACAGCAAACTTCACAGAGTTTTTGAGATGAATAAAGCAAGTTGAAAAATCTACGTCCGTTACAGGGGTGTTTTCAGTATACTACACAGCCATGCAAAGGAGTTGAATCATATTACTTTATATGGTTATATAACCACCTAAGACACACATATAGGCCACAAGAAATTGGCTCCAAATGTACAGGATTTTGTGCAGTGCACTTCCAAAGTGTGCAAAATGTACGTCCGTATCGCCGGAATTGCCCCACTTTGAGAAAGAAATTTCAGAAATTGATCAATATTCAAACAGTCACAGTTCTGTTAAGCGCACAAGCAAGCTGTTTTTAAAAGATCTCACCAGTGATGAATTCTTCGGGTGTATTAGTTATTGGTGGTAGATTGAATACTTCACCTGTTTCAGAAAGGATAAAAAATCCAGTGAT